TTGGGGTCAGGTTGCTCTTATTTTGGGTTCATCTCCGAGGAAGATTATTTTGAGGTTGGTTTTATTTTGAGGTTTCTGAAGAGACTGGGAAATCCTGCCACAGTACCATCTGAATTGTAAATAACTGCCTATTTTCAGTCAAAAGGAAGATGAGTCACAAAGGGCAAGCAGCTAAATAGATCTAAATTTCTTTCAATTGTATTCGGAAAACACAATTACCTTACGTGATCTGAACTAGCAACCTATTTCTGTTTTGCATGATGGGGAAATAAAATATCTCATTTGCTTCACTTTTATACCCACACTTATTAAATTATTTCATATAAAGTATCAATTTAATCTTTACTTCCTGAAATCTCTGTTCCTGGAGAAATGTAAAGAGTTAATTACCTTTTCTCCTCAACACCCCAATTACCAGTAGTGGTGTTTCCTGCAGTCTTTCACACTACAGAAGATATGATTCTGTGAGGAGTTTCCCAGAATTATATCTAAACTTGTCATTGCCTCCAGAGGCAAAACAAATCCTGCTCATTCCTGCAGAACAATCATCTGAGATTACCTCCTCCATCTTACAGAGATCGAATTTACTTGACCTAGACATTTAGATCGTGGTATGGCCACAAGCATCTTCTCAATCCTGCCAAGATGCTGGCGAGCCTGTTTGACTGCGGCAGTCTGCAGGGGTGCTGCTGAAGGCACCGAACACCTACGTGCCTGTCACCGCATGAGGAGCAGCCGGCCCCCCGGTACCCGCAGCTCCCCCGGGCTCCCAGCCCCTCGCGCCTCTGCGGCCACCGACCCGCGCTCCTGTTTTGTGACCGCCGCTTTCTTCTCTGCCCTCACTCCAAACAGCAGCACTCTAGTTTTTCCTTCACTAATAGGCATTTTTGTCAACGAAAGCTTACAGAGCCCATGGCGTCCGCTCCGGCCAAGCAGCGCTGGCTTTGGAAGCAGCTCAGGGCAAGGCAAATGCGGAGCGGGATCGGGATGAGCGAGCGTGGCGGAAGAGCTCGGTGCCGTCGCGGGTGCCCAGGGCGACCTTCCCACTCGGGACCTGCCGGAGCAGCAGCGGTGCCCTGTGCCAGGCAAGAGCAGCTCCGTGCGGCCGTCACGTCGCGACTGGGAACGGGAATGGCGAGGCTGCTCTTGGGGCCTCTCTCTGCATCCACTCTGCATCTAATCCGGCTTTGCCACCACTTCTACTAGAAGCAGTTGCTTTTTTGAAGTCCTTTGAAGACCATGACTTCAGTAACTGGAAATAAATAGCTATAACTTTTGCATATAATAAAAAAACTATTATTAATACTAAATACGTCAAGAAAGTTTTGCCAAGGTTCTTCACGTTTCAGAGTTAAACATTTTTCACATTAAGTAATGAGAGGTCCATGGTATGTTGTCGTTAATAGTAACTAACTAAAAAAAAAAAAGCCAGAGCATTTGCAGCGTTGTCAGTCTTGCTGCCATGCCGGTGGGAGAGGCAGGCAGGCGCCCGCGCAAGGCGAGGCTGCCCTCGCTCACAGGGCCCTGGCACCGCAGCCGACGTGCGCCGCGTCAGACCCGGCTCTCCTCCTCCTCCACGGCGCGATGCAGGCCTGGGATGAACTTCAGGAGCTGCTTGCGGACACTCGGTCTCCTGCTTTTCCGCGGGAGCGTCCCAAAGTGGTAGGTGCCGCCGGTGCCCTCCCAGAGTGGGGACAGGGAGCCGCTGCTGGCCACGCTGGTGCTGCGGCTCCCCCGCCCGCCGGGGCCGGCGCGGGCGCCGGGCCCC